TATAAATTGAAAATAGATATAAATGATAAGAATATAAAATGATAAAGATGAATATTCAAATAATCTAATACAACTAAATATAAAAGAATATAAATAAGAAATTTTAAATAATATAAACATAAAAATAATAAAATAAGAATAATATAATAATATATAGATAATAAGAATAATACAATGATATACATAATATAAACAGAGAAATAAATATATAAAAATAAGATATAAATATATAAAAATAAATATATAATAACATAATAAAAAAATACAAACAATTAAATATGATTCATCAAATCATCTATTTCATTAATATTTCATACAAAATGAATACAATTGATAATAAAATATAAACATAAATATATACAGATTGTATATTTATCATATTTTTTATTTTTTATTTTTATTTTATGAGCAAAATATAATAAATGGAATATTCTATGGAGCAAATTTTTTTGCATTTTTTTTCTTTTTTTTTAAATTATTTAGATGCATTATTTCTTTGCTAATTTTCGTAAACAAAATAATATATTATAGAAATAATCAAAATGAAATTATTTATTATCATTAATTCAAATAAAACGAATTAAAACATGAAATGATTAATAAATCATTCAATTAAAATAATAAAATGTTCAACTTTATTATTATTATTCTCAATATACAAGAAATGTGATTCAATGTTTAATATTTATTTTGAATGAATTTGTTAAATAACAATGTATAATATTCTTATTAATTTATTATTCATTGTTAATTGAAACAATATTGGAATGTTAATTGAATAATCAAGTAACAGAAAATGAAACATTTATTGTTTTATAGTTATATTATTTAATACATTTTGAGAATTGATTAATGAAACAATTATATGATAATCCATGAAGAACATTCATTACATGTTGGTAAAAATGAAATTTACTGGATTAAAAATATAAGAAAAGGAAACTGCATGAAGAAAATAAAAATAAAGTGGTTATGATACTTATATTACATCAATGGTTTTATTACTGAAAATAAGCATATGAAATTTCATCAAAACATTTTCAAATGTTAAGTTAAATACAAAATATACTGTTTAATTTATCTTATTATAAACAATTTCAACACCTTTGTTTACTTTCTTGAAAAAACAATAAATAGAACTAAAAGAAAACAAGGACAAAACATGTGACTATAATAAAATAGAAAATTAAAATGAATAATCAAATAAATTAATCAATAAATGATGAATATATTCTTAAAATAGGAATGATTTGAATCATGAATTGAAATTATTATTCATTTCATTCATTATTGT